GTATTGGTGGAACAAAGGAGATGTAGTCTGCACCGAAGAAAAGCACACGGGGACCCTATCCTGGTGAGCCAATATGGTGTATCACTGCATGCATACTCATGCAGCGGTTTTCACGTGTTGATGCCAGGGGCTAAAAATGCCACGGGCTAAAGATGCCAGGTGGCGGGGGAGAGGACGGGCATATACATGACGCAGGAACGCTCGAGTAGAAGGTGCCGTGCACGTTCTCCACACCACCTGCCCTCCCCCCGCACGACCTCAAGACATCGGCATGTACCAATTCGCCATGTCCAGCAACACCAAAACGCGCACCACGGGCGTGCCAAAGTTCCTCCGTCACCTCTACGCCATCCTCCACACCGAGGACTCGTCCATCATCTCGTGGTCCGTGGACGGGTCGTGCATCCAACTGTTCAACGTCAAGCGGTTGGAAACCGAGGTGCTGCCCAAATACTTCAAACACAACAAACTGTCGAGCTTCCAGCGACAACTCAACTACTTTGGCTTCCGCAAGTGGACCAAGACCCAGTCGTGCGTGTGCACGTTTAGCCACGCCCAACTCACCCGCCACTCCACCCCCGACACCATGGCCATCACGCGCAAGCACTCGTCGGCGTCCCCCACCAGCTTCGACTCGTACGTCCCCGAGGCGTGCGACGCCTTGGTCTGGCCCACGGACGACCTCGTCTTCCACGACGCCGACGACCTCAAGGTCGAGGACTGGGACTTGTGCGTCGACTCGTTCGACGACGTGTCCTTCGACTGGCTCAGGACCATCGACACCACTCCTCTCTGCGTGCTAGTCTAGACACTCGTGCTCTATTTATCAATATATCCACGTCGCCTGGCGTTCCTTGACCGTCTTGCGTTGCACGGGGCGACCTCGCCCCTCTCGCCGTCGTCGACGCCAAGCCCCCTCACGCGCGACCCGCCGAGCGAGGGCTTGGTGTCCCTGGCAGGCTGCCGTGCGTCCATCGACGGTGGTGCCCGAGGAGGACACGCGTGCTTGCGAGTGCAGGATCCTCTTATTCGCAGCGAACGGACGATGCCACACGTGTTGA